GAGAGGGAGGACGGAGAGAGAGAGATGAGAGAGGAGACGAGGAGAAGAGAGAGAGATGACAGAGAGAATCAAAGACGAGAAGAGAACGAGAGGGAGAGAGAGGAGAAGAGAGCAGAGAAAGAGAGAGAGAGAGGAAAGAGAGACAGATCAGACAAGAAGAACAATGAGAAGAGAGAAGAGAATCGGAGAAGATGAGAGAGAGTAAAGATGAGAGGACAGACAGACGAGACAGAGAGGAGAGACGAGAGACGAGAGACAGAAGGACAGAAGAGAGAAAGAGAGAGGGGTGGGTAGCGGAGGACAATCGCGTGCGCTGCTGAAAAAGAAAGAGACCGTGTAAGAGAGAGAGATCGATACAGATGAGAGAAAGGAGAGATGAGAGACAGACGAGAGAGGACGAGAGAGAGGAGAGAGGAGAGAGAGAAATGATGAGTAACGAGGCAGATGAGACTGCAGTGTGACAGTAGACGAGCACACATCGTTTGATTTTCACGACCTCTTTGCGACTACATTTATCGTTTCTGTTCACCTTTTATAGTTAGATTGTCGCGTTGTGCTACTTCCAAGCTTGCTGCTACTTCCAATGTAAACACATCCTTTATTCAAAATCAATCGTGCTAACTTTTCAAGATTTTCCTTGGCGATCAGAATTTACCGGCCGATATGTATAGAATATTTACGGAAGCCCCGTCATGCGTACGGGATTTGCAATAGTGTCTCTGTCTCTGCCTCTGCGACTGTCTCTGCCTTTGCTTCTGCCTCTACCTCTCCTTCTGTCTCTGTCGCTGTCTCTGCTTCTGCCTCTACCTCTCCTTCTGTTTCTGTCGCTGTCTCTGCCTCTGCCTCTGCCTCTGCGACTGTCTCTGTCTTTGCCCCTGTCTCTGTTTCTGTCTCAGTCTCTGCCTCGGCCTCTGCGACTGTCTCTGTCTCTGCCTCTGCCTCTACCTCTGCGACTGCCTCTGCCTTAGCTTCTGTCTCTGTCTATGTCGCTGTCTCTGCCTCTGTTTCTGCATATGTCTTTGCCTCTGCCTCTTCCTCTGCCTCTGCCTCTGCCTCTGCCTCTACCATTGTCCCTGACTCTACCGCTGCTACGGCCATTGTCTCTGTATCTGCAGCTTGCCATGACTTAGTATGACTTGCCATGACTTAGTATCTACCTGTTCCCTGTGCATCTTCATATTGCTTATGAAACATTGTGACAGGTTGTTAACCTTGAAAATCTTGTCTCAACAATAGTTTTGACCTTCTACCTTATCGCTTTAATCTACGCCTCGCTTTCGATCTACCTCTCATCAGTACACGCAAGCACGCAAGAAGTTTACGATTACTGTCTAATCGCTTCCATAATGCGCAGCAGTAACAAATTTACGCATTTTCTATTATTACAGGTTGTGACGCAGCACACGCACACACACACACACACGCGCACACACACACGCGCGTGCGTGCGTGGAACACCAAACGACCGCCGCCATGGACATCGAAAAGATGGAGAGCAAGTTCCGGCTGATGCTCAACCTTCTCAAGAACATCACGGGCAACGACAAGGAGCGCATGAGTCACTATCTGAGCGAGTTCGTCGAAAAGCAAGGCATGAGTACATTCGACGTCGTCACCCAGAACATTCTCATCTCGATGTTCTGCGTCCTCATCTCGATCGGCTCCTTCGGTAACAGCCTCGTCTGCATCGCCGTCATCCGCAAACCGCAGATGCGAACGGCGCGCAACGTGTTCATCGTCAATCTGGCGCTGAGCGACTTGACTCTGTGTCTGTTCACCATGCCCTTCACGCTAGCCGGCGTCATACGCAAGGACTGGAACTTCGGGATGTTTATGTGTAAGCTCGTGCGCGCGTTTCAGGCGACGAATGTGTTCGTGTCCACGATGAGCATCACAGCGATCGCGCTCGATCGCTACCAGGTGATCATCTATCCGACGAAAGAGAACATGCAGAAAGTCGGCTCCGTGCTGATTCTCGGCGGCATCTGGCTCGTCGCGTTTCTCATGGCAACGCCGATGTTCATCTACCACGACGCCATCGACCTGATACCACCCGACTACGGCATCACGCTGAAGGTCTGCGCCGAGGTGTGGCCGATCGCCATCGGAGGGTTCATCTACACGGTGATGACGATGCTGTTCCAGTACGTGCTGCCTATCGTCATCGTCAGCGCCGCCTACGCGCGCATCTGCCGTAAGCTCGAGTACCGCATGGTGTCGCACGCTAGCGCGACGAAGGACCAGCGTCGACGACAGCAGGACGAGCGACGCAAGCGCAAGACGAATCAACTTCTGATCGCCATCGCTGTCGTGTTCGTCATCTCGTGGTTGCCCATCAACATCTTCAATCTGTATATGTTCTACATGGGCTCACATTCGAAGATCACCTCAGAGCAGGAGTACATCATCTTCGCCGTCTGCTACATGATGGCAATGTCGTCCGCCTGCTCGAACCCGCTGCTCTACGGCTGGCTGAACGACAACTTTCGAAAGGAGTTCAACGACTTGCTCTGCCAGAATCGCTGCATAGGCGCCATCAAACGCTTCACTGCGCGTCCGGAGAGAAACTCTGTTCCCATGGTGATTTACACGAAGACGCAGCAGAGCGAGGTGGAACGCAAGAACAGTCAGAATAACGTGCACGTGCCCGAAGCCAGTGCCGCCACTCAGGTCGAACACATGGCGCTGTCGGTCGGACCCTAGCGGAAGTGCCACGTGCACGCGCGTACGATGGGTGTGTTGGGGAGCCGAAACTGGCTACGGCGTTCTACCGTGATCTATTTGTGAGTGCTATAATAAGTATATAATATATAACGAGAAGAAGGAGAAGAAGAAGAAGAAGAAGAGGAGGAGAAAAAAAAGAAAACACACTTCCGAATCTCTAGTTAACCAATGCGCGAAGGTGGCGACCTCTATCGGTCGCAACAACAACTGCTCGACGCGTGTGTTTATCGATCGGGTGGTCGCGACTGGTTGCAGCACTAGCGCCCCCTGTCCACCGACGACGGCAGGGGTTCTGTGTAAACAACAACTGCCGTCGTCGTTGTTCCCTCGTTTCTTTGATGTTATAGTTGCGTAAATAAGCGCGCGTAATGTATACACGTGTACGTACGTAGAACTCTTCGGGGCGCATCAGGTTGCGTGGTCGTCGTGTGTTTGATTAGATTAAGTCGTGGGTGCACCACTCGGAATCGGAGCCACTAGCTAGCTATCTAATAAAGGTTTATAATCATAATTACGTATTTTCTTATGGCGCGATATAGAAAGAGCGGCCAGGCGTTTCGTCACGCACACGCGCGTTTTTAAGGAGGAAAGACTTAGTTATTTGTTTCCTCTAAATATTTGTTTCATCTAAATATTTGTTTCATCTAATTATTTGTTTCATCTCGGAGTGTGTCGCGATCAATTATTGTAATGATGGTTCTTGTTATGGGACTTTTTTGTTGTTTTTCCGGCGACAGGCCGTGCTTTGTGCGATCCGACGTTTGTTGTATTATTCTCGATGCGCAAAATTGTTTTGTTTGTGCACTTGTAGAAATAATCGTATAAATGTAGATTTTGCACACAGCTGCACACTCCACACGCACGCAGATCTATACCTACCGCGAGCCAGTCTCACTAGACAGCAACGCAGTGTGTAGTGCAGTAGAGCTTGAATCCGAAGAGCTGGCAGTACGATGCCCATATATCACACAGCATCTCCGCATCGCTGTGAGAAGTATCGCTAATCATGAGGGAAACGTATATGTCGTATGCCATCGTAGTTACCATAACGCACTCGGCAGAAACATTAAATCAACCATTAGCATATACACTTCATTAAATCGAGCACGCACGCACGCACGCACGCACGCACGCACGCACGCACGCACGCACGCGCCGCTGCCTGATTAAGACATATTTAGGTCACGCTGATAGTTTTGCTGTCTTACGCATTCGTGTTAAGTGCCAGCACTCAACGTAAGTGATGTTGCAATTTCGTTATCGTCAGCTCGCGCGTGGGCGCGTGTAGCCCGTGTGTTTCACTAGAGAGACAATTCTCTCCTCCGTCACCTTAATTCCGTCTCACGCTAGAATCGAAACGCCTGGCTGCGCGCCGTTTCAGTTGTTCATTCGTTTTGATAACTTCATCGTTTGTGTCAATTATCGTAATGCTGCGACATCGTGTGACTATATCGACATCCATCTTAGACTGTCGCGTGTGGGCGCGCCATTCGACTTTGCGCATTTTCAGCACTCAACCCTAAGGGCATCGTAAGAAATAGCTGAATCGTGTGTGTGTGTAGCGCTTTACGTTACAGTACATGTGTAGCGCATCACGTCACAGTATGCGTGTTGTGCATTACGTCACAGAACGTGTGTAGCGCATTACGTCACAGTACGCGTGTAGCGCATTACGTCACAGTGTGCGTGTAGTGCATTACGTCACAGAACGCGTGTAGTGTATTACGTCACAGTACGCGTGTAGCGCATTACGTCACAGTATGCGTGTAGTGCATTACGTCACAGAACGCGTGTAGTGTATTACGTCACAGTACGCGTGTAGCGCATTACGTCACAGTACGTGTGTAGTGCATTACGCCACAGTACGTGTGTAGTGAATTACGTCACAGTACGCGTGTAGTGCATTACGTCACAACAGTACGCGTGTAACGCATTACGTCACAGTACGCGTGTAGTGAATTACGTCTCAGTACGCGTGTAGTGCATTACGTCACAGTACGTGTGTAGTGCATTACGCCACAGTACGTGTGTAGCGCATTACGTCACAGTACGTGTGTAGTGCATTACGTAACAGTACGCGTGTAGTGAATTACGTCACAGTACGCGTGTAGTGCATTACGTCACAGTACGCGTGTAGTGCATTACGTAACAGTACGCGTGTAGTGCATTACGTAACAGT